AAGTGCAATTTAAAACAAAGTGCTTGGGGCAGTGGCCCTCGGAAAGTATAGATCTTCAGATAGTGAGGGTGGGATCACTTAGATCAGGGGAGGGGGGCTAAAAGAATAAATTAACTTTGTCTAAAAGTGCATTTTTAAAAAAAATATTATTATTCAGAGAGATGTGATAATGAACAGATGGCTGACTGGATGTTATGTGCTATTGCACTTTGTTCTTTTCTTGATTCAATATACCAAAATTTCAAAATAAAAATTTAGAATAATTAGGACACTTAAGAACAACCTAGGTGAAGCCTGTTTTATAGTATGAAGGTTTGAAAATAGCAAAAACTGCAGTCATTAAATGTGACCATGGAACTATCATTAGATTGACTCACTAAGGCACATGGCGACATTACTAAATAATATTATTCTGAGTAAAAAAAGTGCCTTTTGATTGTAATGGATAAAAAGATTGTCCTGCTCGTTATCATCTCTCTCTTCATAATAATATTGGGAAAACCCGTCACACAGAGCAATTCAAATTGAACTTGTGATGAATAGGAAAAGTGACAGATTCTCCTTAAAGTATATTATAGCCCAAACTATTTTTTAGCATATGGAAGGAGTACGGAACCTATGTTGGGGTTTTAGAGTACAGAGGAAACCCGTTTGGGTTTTAGAGTACAGAAGGAGTAAGGAACTCCTGTTGGGGTTTGAGAATACAGAAGGAGTTCCGAAACCCTATTAGGGTTTGAGAGTGTAGAAGGAGTACGGAAACCCTGTTGGCCTTGTTAGGGTTTTAGAATATGAAAGGAGAATGGAACCCGTTGGGAAATTTAGGGTACAGAAGGAGTATGGAACCCCTGTTGGGGTTGAAAGTGTAGGAGTACGGAAACCCTGTTGGCCTTATTAGGGTTTTAGAGTAGAGAAGGAGTATGGAACCCCTGTTGGGATTTTAGAATATGGTAGTACAGAACCCCTGTTGGGGTTTTTAGAATACAGGAGGAGTGTGGCACGCCTGTTGGGTTTTAGATTACGGAAGGAGTATGGAACCCCGTTGGGATTTTAGAGTATGGAACCCCTGTTGGGATTTTAGAGTGTGGAAGGAGTACGTAACCCCTGTTGGGATTTTAGGGAACAGAAGGAATATGTGACTCCTTTTGGGGTTTTAGAGTAAAGAAGGAGTATGAGCCCCTGTTGGGATTTTATAGCACGAAAGGAGTTCAGAAAAGTACAAAACCCCTCAAGATTGTATTGCTATATGTGCACCTGCTGGGTAGATTCTCCCCCCTATTTGTTCTGGTGACCATTGTCACTAAGACAGATTTCAGCTAATGTGAATTTAGTGAATGTATGTGAAAACATGTATAAATAGATTCCTAACGATGTACCAACCAAGAATGGTTGCCCCATGTATATACAAATTATATACAAACATGTATATACAATGTATACAATGTTATCAGCTTTCCCAGCAATCTTCTGTGAACTACCTAACACCACGTACCTATGTAATGGACATGAGGGAAGAAGAGGTGTTTGTAGTCCACATCAGGAGAGAAGACTAGGGTCACCTTAGAACAGGAAAAGTTTTACCGGCAGGATCAACAGCCAAAAATAAAGCGTCAAAAAACTAGTGCAGCTACCCCACATGGTTAGCTACTAAATATACATTAGATATTATCTATTATATCTAACATTTATGCCAATAGTTTATACCTCATTATTAAACGTTCTAAATGTAGCATAGTACGTTTTGGTGGTTTTATTTTTCAGAATAGATTTTTTTTTCTTCTTTGAAATCACTGTCTGCGATATTAACAAATTACAAAATGGCAACATTGTCATAATACTTGTGCATCAATACAAAAATTTAAAAAGCATGAAAATGACATTCTATACCCATAATTAACCTCTAGCTAAGTATATCCAAAATATCTAGAAATATTTGATGTACATGAGATGTTCCATCGGTGATAGTATACTTAAAAGTACATTTGTACATTCAAAGTGTTTACCGTTAAAAAAACAAAACAAAGAGAAAGAAAAAGTATTGCTTGCTGTTCTAACGTTACATACAACAGATAAATAAGCACCAATGAGAGTTTCAAAAAAGTGTAGCCAACAAACTGTGCAAACAAACATAATCTACATTCTATGCAAATACCCTGACTATATATAAATAGATTATTGTGCTATGCTAATTCACTTCAGTGCAGAAACAATGTTTTCACACAAACCATTTTCCTTTATTTGTTTAGATACTGATTTTAGCACTTACTTTGTAATTGTATTGTGTTATGTAGTGACATAAACATATTGAGAAATACTTTACCTATGATAGTAAAAATAATGCATGGCTGCCATGCTGGCACAGGATAAATAAGACATTATTCGATAACACTGGCTCAGAAAATGATGGTAAAAAATTATAATAAAAGGTGACAGTGACTTTACCAGCCAATCAATACACGGGATATGGCTTGCATTAGAGGGATACTATTGCTTAAAAGACAAGTCTACCAGATGTAATATGTGTAAAAATAATTGCCCCTTGGCTTCTTAAATCCCTTGCTAGCTCCAGAGGAGAGATTTTGCTGATGGGGTTCCCAGTTGTATAATGTAAAAAAAAAAATGTATAACAATGTAAAATAACCAAACAGGGATTGTGAAATAATTTGTAATGACCATGGAAGGTGGATGAACCTCAAAACTAAAGTGTAAAGATCTCTCTACTAGAATTCAAGGAGTTATAAGAAAATATCAGTTTTGGGTAAACTGTCTATTGAAAGAATACAGCAGATTCTGTACAAATATGACACGGAGATTGGGATACACTTGCAGAGGGTGATTTGAGAAAGGTGTAAAGAATTTTCAGTTAGCTTTGTGAAAATGGTGAAAACTGTGTGATCACGTGCAAGCAAATAATAAAAAAAAAAGAACAGCAATTTTGCTTGTACATGATTGGATGGTGGAAGTCAGCACAGCTTCTCCGGATTCACTAAGCTAAATGCAAATTCCCTTGCAAAGTGAACATTCTCTACTCCTTTAGTAAATCATCCCCATAATACGCTTTTAATCACCCTTTCTTCAACCTTCTAATCGGTTTACGTAATATAAGCACAGGTCTCAGATCCGACTCTCTTCACAATGCTTTGGTCTGCACTCAGAGCATGCCCCAACTGACTTTAGAGAATAATGCCCATATGCAGTGCATGTTGGTGAAAACCATTATTCTCTATGGCCAGGGCTGTATATGCATGTCTTAAAACACAACCACCAATAGAACATTAATCTAGTGTAAACACTACAGTGTTTATATGAGATCTTTATTTTTTATAAAGAAGGCAAAGGAAGGCTGGGGCTAATTTATGATTTATAACGTGGAATTTACTAAATTGCTCATTTGTAATTTAATAAGATTCACTGGCTAGCCTGGCCATATTACATTAGCTAACATCCTTTTTAAAAAAAATTACTTATTCTTTATGATAAGTAATCATTAGGCAGAAATAAAAGTTGCATATTGATATTTTTGGAAGATGTCACCATTCAGTTTTCCTCAGCTAAAAGAAAATTGGACAGGACATGTAGTTGCCACATTAAAAGGGAAAAAGCCAAGTTCAGGGACTGTCATCTTGATCCTTGCCTCACTATTTAGGTGAATCACTCACCTGCAATAAATAAACAGGTAAGTGTATTCGCTAGTGTACAGGGATGACAGCCTAGGAGCTTGCAAATTTATAAAAAAAAAAAAGTCAGCAATGACAGGCCCCATTTTTCTATCCTGGCAGGTCCCCTTTAAAAATAAACCTGTGACCTGTGGTTCGCTTTTAGGGTTGCTAAGATTTCAAAGTATTAGGATGTTCTATTGCCGCCATTCCTGCCTCAGTATGGAACAACTATAATTCATGTGTCCTGATAAAACAGTTTTCAGTTCTCAAGGCTACTTTAGAATAAGGAGGAAGGAAAAGTATCTATCTTCCTCCAGATTTTGCTAATACCGGTAAGTTATTATATGGCTGGGTGAAGGTTTTAGCGCCTTATGATGATAGGTATAGATTATAGTTATTCACTGGCTTGTACACCGCATACATTTGGTAAACTGATTGGATGTTTTAGATGTGGCATAAACAGCATCCCTGTTTCTTCACGCAATAAATAAAATTAGAGGCACCCCATAAAGAAGGTGGAAGACCTACCAGTCTAGTGGGAGGTGACTCAAATCTTCCATCTCTTGCAGAGGTACAGCCACTGCTGCCATGCTACTGTTGTGTTGGGTGCCGCATCCTCTGTTGTGCCCTGTAATTCCACCCACACGACTCTTTGGTACTATTGTGTCCTGCATCAACATAGTGAGGGTTGGGTGGAACCACAAGGCACAACAGGGAACGCAGAATGACACACCTGGAAGTGTAGAATAGCAACGCTGACCATAACTTTGCAAGAGAGCACCTTCTATACAGGTAAATATTCTTCCTGTTTTATAGGGTGCCTCTAGTTTTACATTTTTGAGATAGCCGCAGGGATTCTTTAAATGTATTTGTACAACGGTTGGGTTTCACTGGCATGTAAAATAAAAAAAATTCTTAAAAGGTCTATGCAGGCCTATAAAATGCCTTCCTTTACTGTAAGGCAGATGTGGTAAAACTGGAGATAAATATATTTCTACCCCACAGAACATGATTTCTTTGTATTGTTTACATTGCTAAAATGATATCTGACATCTGATTGGCTGCCATAACAAAGCAGATACATTCTTTTCATGAAGTTTGGGAAATTCTGCAACTTCTGCACATTAGTGACAGAAATAAACCTTTGCAAATCATAACTGAAAACTATGCCTGCCCTTTAAATACTCTATTAACCATTATAAACATTGTCCTGTACATACATGTAAGAACTATTCGTTTAATATTAAGATAAGCACCTACAAATAAAATATATATATATGTATTCCTGATAGCTTTGTTTTAAATGTCCCGTGAACAATGTTCCCTTTATTGATTGGCTTTTTCAAGGAAACCCAGAATGGCAGCTAAGATGATGATAATGTAGAAAGGAAAGATGAACTCCAAAAATACATCTTTGTGCAACTTAAATAAACAAATTACTGATAGAATGATAAAATGATAAAAATCCAATGTGTTATGACAAAATGTAATCCACGTCAGTAGAATCTGGTTTACAAACAGCCACCTCTGATATACCAAAAACAAAATGGCTGGCGGTGACTATTGTCCTGCAGAGATGACACAAGATCACTGCAGAAATAGTGAGCTGTGTTTCCTCGTAGGTCCTGGAGTGCCTGCTGACAGTTTACTGGTGGCATCAAACTCTTCCTAGACGTCAACCAAGTTTAGTAAGCTGGAGGTCTCCGTTGATCTTTACAGTGTCAATAGCCGACAGAAGTTCAACACGGTGGTAAAAGTCAAAAAGCTGGTGTCCATCGATAAATACCCTGAAACGCGGATGTTCGCAGAGTATTTCCACCTACAAGAGAAGATAATGCATATGTAAATAATGCTGGCCAACATTAACTGCTGCTTGGGACCTCATTATCAGGTACTTTTGGCACTGGCTTTATCAAAGGGGACCAAAACCAACACAGAAAACCCAAACTGGTCACCTTTCTTTCATCCAAAGACATCCATCATATGTGCATGTTAGGGTCTTAAAGAGGAACTCCAGACAAATAAAAGAACTTACCCACACAGTGGGGCTATCCTGCACTGCAAGGGTTAAGTGCTCATTTTGGTCTAGGGGTTGGAATAAAGCAGAATTACTTACCTGATCCCGGCTTCCCCTGGGCTTCTAGACCAACCTCTCCTTCCCTGGGCTCCAGCGGTCCAGCCAAAGGACCGCTGACATCATCACGTCTTATGCAGGTCCATTGACCTGCATTAGACGTAAGGATGCCAAGAGACATTCCATAGCTAGAGCAGAGGGGAGGAGAGCACTGATCGGTGCGGGATCAGGTAAGTAAAACTGCTTTATTTGAATACCCTAGAAAAACGAGTGGTAGCCCAACTGCAAGGGAAAGATTTGTATTTGCCCAGTTCTTCTTTAAAGTCGCTATAAACATCATGATCATTACCCAATCCCACTTAAAGTACACCTTTACTTATCTTAACAATAGTAAATGAACTGTAGGATTAAAAAGCAGCTAAAGGTGCCTGTCCGTAGATTTAGATGTTTTCCTGTGCTCTGAACCCCAGGCTTTTCTATTATGTACATACCAATCTTAGCTTGGAAAGTCAAGCTCTTGGTCCATTATCTCCCACACCCCACTACTGAGCAGTGAGGCATTGTATTCACTGACCAGAACTGAGGGCTTGCAGGGGACATGCCAGAGAATTTGGTATTTGCATAACAGGGGAATTCAGTTTTTGGGTCTCCTAGAAAACTCAGTAAGATTTGGCCACCCACATCTCAAATTTGTACTCATTCTTGCTGAATCGGCCATAGATCAGACTGTGGGTAACCCTGCTGGCACCATTTGCTTGACATAACTATAGTGCCTGACTGGAAATGTGCAAATGTATTTTGAGTGTATAAGAGTTATGACTCCGGTCAGGTTTTCACTTGAGCCTATGTCCCTGATGGGGAGATTCATTATCTTTACCGTATATACTCGAGTATAAGCCGTCCCGAATATAAGCCGAGGTACCTAATTTTACCACAAAAAACTGGGGAAAAATATTGATCGAGACGCTGACTATAAGCCGAGGGGGGCACTTTTCAGCAAAAAAAATGGGCTGAAAAACTCGGCTTATACTCGAGTATATACTATATTTGCTCTGACTGGGACAGAAAGTGAGAGGAAAGCCAAAATGAAACAGGTGAGGGGGAATCTTCCAAAGAGGGCACCTGTTCCAGCGACACCTGTGTCAGAAGATTGCTTCTTCCTTTGGTGAGATTTCATGTTGTGCCTTTCACCAAACATTCACTGGTGGTGAACCAATAACTGAAATGTAAAACTTATGCACCTGGAAGATTCATCTGAAGAGAATGTTTGGTGAATGTCAGACTTACTGCTTTATATATATGCCCCATTATTGGGGCTCTTTGATGTCTCTTTATATGATTAACACCCACGCATATCAAGCCATTACATTGCACTCCTAGCTGTATGCCTGTCACAATTATCTCTGTTCTCTATTATTACTAGTGCTCATAAATATTTCTTACTTTCCATATTACAGTCCTTATTCTGTTGCTTCCCTTCCTGGTATTCCCGGAATGTATGCAACAAAAACACCCTTTTTAACCTAAGTAGTTAAACAGGTTATTTTTTCTTGCTGGCTAGCTTGAAAGTGTGCTGGGGACCCCCTTTTGTACTGTTTTGCATACTGCCCTGTCCATGAGCACCTTTCCCTTTTTGCTCGCTTTAAACAGATCACAGCGGCTGCCATATTTGCTTTTATGTCCTCATGTTGCATTAGGTACCTATTATAACTATTTAATGTGATAAATGTTTGATCATATATTTATACAGCATTCAATCAGTGTGTTTTTTACTTATTGCCTTAATAGTTCACTAACATAAGGAAAACACATTACCTTAAGGGGTGTATTTATACAGGTGAAACTCGAATAATTAGAATATTGTGCAAAGTTCATTTTTTCACTAATGCAACTTATGCGGTGAAACTAATATATGAGATAGACTCATTACATGCAAAGCAAGATAATTCAAGCCGTGATTTGTCATAATTGTGATGATTATGGCTTACAGCTCATGAAAACCCCAAGAACCCAAAATCCACAACCTCAAAAAAGTAGATTATTACATGCAATCAGTAAAACAAGGATTGTACATAGAACAATATCGGACCTCTGAAAAGTACAAGCATGCATATGTACTCAGTACTTGGTTTGGGCCTCTTTTGCAGCACTTACTGCAATTACTTTTGCCCGATATTCTAATCATTCGAGTTTCACCTGTAAAACATTTGCACAGCAAACAGCTATGCAAACGGCTGAGTTGTAGATTCGCTGCACATTATGGCCACTAGATGGAGCCAAGGAGCATAGGAAATCCTATGCTCCTCGGCTCCATCTAGTGGTCATAATTTGCTGCAAATCTAATACGCAGAGGTCCACAGAGCTGTTTGCTCTGCGACTGGTTTCAAATTTCACCCTATGATGTTCAGTTCACCCAAAACTTACATTTCATTACAGGTGGGTTTTGGTAGACCAAGTCACCCACTGGATCGGTGTTCCTGGCCCTGTTGTTTATTCTATGGAGTATGTAACCTATTCATGCTGAAGAAAGAGTCTCAATCCAACTGCAGCATTCTTCATAGGGTAAAATAGCAAAAATCTAACAGCGACACTGCCTTAAAATGGATGTTACCAATGGAGCCCCCAAGAGATATAGACGGCTAGTGAACGCTGCAGTGTGATCTAAAGCCCTAGTATCTACTTAAAACTGACAGTTCAGTGTAAGGCGGGCTGGTCTGTAAAGACAGCTAGTGATCTAATCTAGAACCTCTAGTCCAGTATAGTGAATAGTTCATCAATTCATACATGATTATCCTGTTCAGCCTGCTCGCTGGGTTACTCCTTGTGTAAATAGCACAGAAGTACATGAAAACACAGAAATGTTATGATCACTGCCTGCTCTGGTCAGGAGTTTGTGTTTTGTTAGGGTGGAAAGAAAAAGAAATCAAGAAAATGTGGGCGTTTAAACATTTTCTCCAATGCTGTGCAATATTTTCCATGCGTTATAATGGGTCACATCTGGATGCCAGATATTCACACATTCTTCTGATACACACAGGCCTTTTAAGTTGGTTCTAAGATTACAGCTACAGCTCGCGGTATACTGAGACGCCACAGTATACCGCGAGCTACCGTTCGCGGTATACTGAGACGCCGCAGCTGAAGCGGATCCTGACAATTATGTCTGGATCCGCCTATCTAAAGGCAGAGCCAGCTGTACCCGCCCCCTCCCCATCCGTTCCACCAGTCAGCGCTGGGGGATCAGAGCGGGGGGAATCCAGCCACTACCCTGTCACGGCAGAGAGCTGTGACAGGATCGAGAGGTGAGCGAACGCCGGTATGCGTTCGCTCACTTCCCGATCTACTGAGCCGACCTGTGACAGTCTCATTGTCACAGGTTGGCTAGAACTATGAGGTGAGTGAAACTGGGCACTGCTCTATGTTCCCTCTGACACAGAGCACCGCCCAGTGGGTAGAAGAGAAACTTTCAGGAGGCCGAGTGGGGCGGGGAAGAGAGCACTGTCACAGAAGGCTGAGCTCTCCTCTCACACCGCTCGGCCTCCTGTGACAAGGAAATCAGGATGGAGAGTGGTGTGGGGGAGAAGACAGCTGTCAGCTGTCACAGGAGGCCGAGCCAGCAGTCGTGTCACAGGAGGCTAAGCTCTTCTCCCCGCACCGCCCGCTCAGCCTCTTGTGACAGTGAGTCAGGATGGAGAGCTGTTACAAGCGCTCAGCGATCTGTACTGATCGCTGAGTCTTTGTAAATAATTGAGGACATAATATATTTACTGTGTCCCCAATTATGAATGAACAGGAAGTTCTACATCACTTCCTGTTCATTCATGATTGTGCACATAGTAACTCATACTTTATCCACAGTTTATGAAAGGACAGGAGCACTCAGTATGAAGGCTTCCTGTTTATTCATAAAAGGGGCTGCAGAAAAAGAGATTTAGGACTCTGTATTTTAAAAGGGAAATATCAGGGGTCTGCTTAGACCCCTGCTGTTTCCCCAGGGCCCCTGCCAGTAAAGCTAAAAACAAATAAATAATTAACTACAAATAAAATATAAATGTTTTCTTTTTTTTAAAATAATTTTTGGTTTCAGTCTGACAATTTTTTTATGTTCGGTTTCGGTCTGAAAATTCAATTTCGGTGCACCTCTACTAAAGATGTGATAAGTTTTCACTCTAAACAGAGGCATAATTAAGAAGTGGTGAGGGTCAGGCTTTATTATGTAGCAGAGCACCCAAAGGAGGAATTTAAGACTCATGCTGTAACCTTATATCTGTCCTTGTTTAGTACTGCTTTGCCATGCTACAAAATTGCTAAAGCTGGGTACAAATGAACATAATTGTTTGTTCAGCATCACAGGCTGACAGATTCCTCCACCCATGCTCACAGTGTGGATGAACAGATCTCCCACTGTGTACATTGGATGCAAGCAAATGATTTTCCAGCATTTCCCTTGGACAAAAGTTGATCTAATGATTTTATAATTTCAGCTGACTCCTGCTAAATTCAAATCCATGTGTGCCCAGCTTAAATGTCCCTTGCGGTATCTTAAGAAGTTGTTTTGTATACATTTGTTATCCAGTTTGCTAAGGATACAGCGGTATCAACAAAGTAATGCACTCAGGCACTAATCTTATAATGCTTCCAAATCCGAGCTTACTTCACATATAAGCAACTTTACTCTATAATGCAAAAGTACTGTAGAGCAAAACATCTGCTTGTTTAAGTCATCCTAAACATAATGGGGACTA